TTCCCTGGTGGAGTGACCCAGATGTCAGTTTTTGACTTCTGTGCACTTGCAGGCTCAACATCATGTGGAAGCTGCCAAGTCTTGAGGCTTGCACCGTCTGAAGCCACAGCCTAACCGCTAAGTTGGGCCCTTTCAGTCATGGCTAGAGTGTCTGGGACACAGAGCACCAAGTCCCTAGGCTGCATACAGCACATGGACCCTGAGCCCAGTCCACAAAACCATGTTTTCCTCCTAGGCCTCCTGTGATGGGAGGGGCTGCGATGAAGACCTCTGACATGCCCAATGGCTTGGGGATTAACGTCCAGCTCCTTGTTACTTCTGCCACCAGCTTGAATTTCTCCTCAGAAAATGGGTTTTTCTTTTCTATCACATTGTCAGGCTACAGATTTTCTGAACTTTTATGCTCTGCTTCCTTTATGAAACTGAATGCCTTTAACAGCACACAAGTCACCTCTTGAATGCTTTGCTGCTTAGAAATTTATTCCACCAGACATCCTAAATCATCACCTTTCTCAAGTTCAAAGTTCTATAAATCTCTAAGGCAGGGGCAAAATTCCTCCAGCCTTTTTGCTAAGATATAACAAGAGTTACCTGTGCTTCAGTTCCCAACAATTTCCTCCCCTCCACCTGAGACCACCATATCTTGGATTTCATTGTCCATATCTCTATCAGTCTTTCTTTCAAAGCCATTCAACGAATCTCTAGGAAGCTTCAAACTTTCCCACATTTTTCTGTTTTCTTCTGACCCCTCCAAACTTTCGTGTATTTTTCTGTCTTCTTCTGACCCCTCCAAACTGTTTCAACTACTGCCTGTTACCCACTTCCAAAGTTGCTTCCACATTATTGGGTATGTTTTCAGCAGTTTTCCCACTCTACTGGTACCAATTAACTGTATTAGTCCATTTGCATCCTGCTGATAAAGACATACCCGAGACTGGGCAGTTTACAAAAGGAAAGGGTTTAGTGAGCTTACAGTTCCATGTGGCTGAGGAGTCTTACGATCATGGTGGAAAGCAAAGAGAAGCAAGTTAGATCTCACATGGATGGCAGCAGACAAAGAGAGAGCTTGTGTAGGGAAACTCTCGTTTGTAAAAACGTCAGATCTTGGGAGACCTATTCACTATCATAAGAACGGCACAGGAAAGACCTGCCTCATGATTCTATATCTCCCACCAGGTCCCTTCCATAACTCCTGGGAATTATGGCAGCTATAAGATGAGATTTGGGTGGGGACTTAGAGCCAAATTATATCAGTGCCCTTGGGAAACGATTTAACTGATGATTTCCTTCATTACTGAAAAAATATGATAATTAAAGAGAAACAACAATATTTACTCAGTGATAAGCAAATTAAATACGTAATCCCTATAACAGCTCTGTGAAGTAGTTTCTTTTAATATCTTCATTTTACCTACAGATGACCCACTGTGATTTAGTGGTGAAGAAAATTATCCAAAATATACAGCTTCTAAGTAGCATGTATATTTTGCTGAAACTCAAATCTCATTTTTATATTGCTAACAGTTTCCCAAGTAATGCTATCAGCATATTGCTATTTGTGAGAATTACTTGAGAGGAATTCATGTAATACTCATGATAGATCAAGGACTTTCAATAAATATTGGTTCCCATTTCTTTGAATATGTATAGTACTTTATTTTTTCCAAAGCAGTTTAGATTTCTTATTTCACTTGATCTTCCTTGGACAGATAAACATAAATATAAGATTAAATAACATCGACAAATCACCAGTGAAAATGGTCCTCGCATCTGGGCTTTCTGTCTTCATATTTGCTACCTTTTTTCTCCCAAACCTTCAATCCTCAAGATACCATGAAAAGAGACTTTGAATTTTAACTTTTCTTGTGTCCTCCCTCCCTTTTGGGGATCTGAGAACAGGTATACAAAAATGAGGCATATGCTTCTTTTCATAAATAGTTGAGTGCCTTGATGTTGCAGAACCTGATAGCACACACTTAAAATGATTATTTTGTGATCTTTGGAATCGTCATGGCTGGAGTGCCACTCACAGCAGGACTTTTCCTCTTCTTGTAATGATAAGCCTTAATGGAATCTGGCCTGCAGAGTGTCTGGGCTGTGTGTGAGCTTGGTATCAGCTCAAGTCCAAGCAAGTTCCCCGAAGCTCAGGCTTTACAACATCGCGTAACTCAGAAACATTCCATCAAGGCACCACCCACCTTTTCCAGTGGGAATGTACTAAAATGATTCTCTTGGAAGCAGTGTGGAAGTAGGGGGAAGGGTGTTACATGTGTGTTTTTGGAGGGGTTTGTGGATGGGTGAGTGGGTGAAGACAAGATAGGGGGGAATTAAAAGCCAAGATGGAAAAAATAACCACACTGCCACCAAACTATTCTGCTGAAGGATGAGGGAGTACACCCTACAGCTGTTAGCACTGTTCAGCATATTTTGCATATTTACATATACCAAGTATTTCCAAACAGCCTTGTGTTTGTTTTAAAATCCCACACGGAGATGTCTGGTAAAGCTGTCACTGCAGAAAGCCATTTTCTTAGTGAAGTTTGCAAGACTGTTTTCCAAATTCTTTATATACACCATAAACTGAGAAGAAGAGCTATTTTCATTAACCACATTATAAAGAAATCTGACCTAATCTACCCACCCATCAGACAACACTCAGAACAAAGCACTATGTTCTAAGACAAAGAAAGCACCTCATTGATTGAAGCCAAATTTTTTTCTGGTTGGTATAATTTGTTTGATACAAAATGGCACATAGCATGATAGCCTGTCTCTCAATGATCTTTGGTTAGTCCTGAGCTATCAAAGCATATTTTTTCTTTATTTCTGTTGATTCTAATCTTTGACTTAAAGATCCCAGCCTTACTGAGTTATAATTGACGAAAGTTGTATATGTTTAAGGAATGAGATATGATGATTTGACTAACATTGTGTAATCATTATCACAATCAAATTAATTAATACAGCCACCACCAGAATTTTTTTTTTTTTGGTCAGAAAAATGATAACACTGGACAGATTTCTTGTGTAGTCATTTTCTTTTGGAAACAGAAAACACTGCAAAACCATACATAGCTCATTTGAAAAAGATTAGTGAGCTTTCAACAGAAGGAATAGGGGAGTTTAAAGCTATATTTTCCTTTTAGCAAGATCCACAAGAAAGGATAGAGTGTCATGCTTAAAGGGGAACAGATTTTGTATTTTTTGGCAAGATATTAAATCCTCTGTTGCTATATTTGGCTCTCTGCAAACAGTCTCTTGTACAAGTGCAAAGCAAAGATCAATGCTGGTGTTCTTCATTCAGTCACAGCCAAACTTGGTATGGAAAGTAAAACGGTTGTGCTTGAGTGTTGTTTCTAACAAAGTCTTGCAGCTCATTTATTGATCAGCAACATTCCAGAATATGGATACCCTCTTTACACATTAAATCTATCAAAACATGTTTGCTTTTCCACAACAGTTTTTCCGCTGCTTAACTGATAGCAGATGGAGTGATTCAATCTGGACAAAAGTGTTAAAACTTTACCACGCCAGTGTGGTCATATTTAGCTATTTAGTCAAATGTGTATAAGCAGGTCAAGTGAGATGCTTGGAGACTTAGGGCATCACAAGATGGACCTATGCTCCCAAAAAAGGAAGCAAAACAATTAAATCATACTTGGTCGTCCCCAGAGAAGAGACACTTCAGCTAGGAAGAATCTGCACTAGATGACCTGCTCTCCACCCCCAAGACTGCTCATCTTACATAAATACCACATAACCCTTTGGATTCTTAAACACTATAACAACTACATGAAACATTTGAAATTGTGACAGGAATTTTCTTCACATGCAATGTGAAGATAAACCCCCACACAAATGCCAATGCAAACATTATGCCTTGCCATTTCCAGTGAACTAGTCTTTCTTGATTATAAGACTGATAGAAAATGATGGAAGTCCAATACTAATGATTGTAGGTAGAATAATGGCTCTAAGTCCTAATCCCAAGAACCATTGAATATGTTATTTTACATGGGAAAAGGGACTTTAAAGATGGAATTAAGAACCTTGAAATGAAGAGACTATTCTGGATTATACAAATGCAGTTAATGTAATCACGAGTCTTTAAACATGCAAGGGAGAGGAAGAAGAGAAAGTCAGAGTGATGCATGTGAGATCTTGACCAGGTTACTGGATATGAAGATGGAAGGAAGCTAAGCAAAGGACTCTAGAATCAAGGAACAGCAAGATTCTCTCTTGGAAGCATCAAAATTCTTTATATACATCATGAACTGAGCAGAAGTTATTTTTCTCAGCCTATTTTCTGTAGCTCACCAAGACTGAGATCTTTGCCGAATGTCGGAGCTGTAAGATAATTAATTTGTGTTGTTTTCGGGCATGATCGTTGTATTAATGTTTTACAGCAATCATAAAAAGCTCATTTTGGTGTATTCTAAATGTGGTAGACAGTTAAAAAGCCTGTGCCAAATTATTTCATCTGTAGTGCTGGAGAGCCTATTATTTAAATGCTGATTTTCAGACTTTAGTACTTTCACATTAAAGATACATGTAATAAGAAAATTGAGGGCCCACATAAAGAAACTCTAGCTTTGCTCAATAGACAAGGTTCGGAATTCTCTTTTCAATGTCAATGAATCGTAGAAAAGTTTTTGTTTCATACTACTTATGGCAGGCTCCCTGTCAACAAATGTAAAAACAACAAAATACACCTTGGTCAATCAATAAATAGCCTTAAAAGCATTGTGTTATAAAATTCTCAAGACCCTTGCTGTTATGTAATTCATATATCCCATTTTATTTGCCATTCCATTATGAATATGTGTTTTCTAATCTATTTCTTGCTGTAATATATAGATTTCTTGGCTCTGAAAATTAACTTTTTAATTAAAAACACCTAAGATGTTGCAATAGATGCTTAATTGAATAAGAAAAAAAAACAGCCTTAAATTCTCAAAATACAGACCAAACTCAAATGCTACATTAAAATATAAACATTCAATTCACATTAAATTATTTATTGAACAAATTGAAGATAATGACATCTGTTTTTATGACAAAGTCTTCCATCATCTTATATCATTAACACGTATTATGAGACCTGCATTTGAAGAGTGAATAGAAATAAGAAAATGTTTTTCCCAAACCCCACAAAACAGAAAAAATATATAATTTTATAATTATAAAGCCAAAAGTTTTCTGAATTATGCATTTTTATTAATTAAGGATGACAGCATAACTAAGATTAATTTTTATTTCTAGAATCACAAAATTAAGGTAGCATAACTGCTTATAGAATTAACAAGTCTGAAATATCATTGTATTTCAAAGCAGTAAAATAATATTTCTATTATTAGTTTTCAGTTTACCTAATCAAATGACAAATATAAAATTCACTACACTGTATTTTTTTTTCACAAAAGCATTTCACCTTCTCTAAATTTATATAATAAAAACAAACTGAATTCATATCTTCCCTTTAAATATATGCACTTTAAAGTGATACAAAGAATTCGCATGGAAACCTTCCCCTATGCATTATCTCTCAAAAAAAATGTACTGAATAGTATTTTTAAATCAGATATAATAACAAATTTTGTACATTTGCTAAGAAATTAAATCACGTGTGTAAATAATCATTAATAACTTTTGCTCTAGCCATAGCATAGGAAAAAATGTACATCTCTATTAATATAAAGATATATCAATAGAAAAGTTCACACCTTATGCATATACCCAAAATCTAATTAAAGAATCTTGCATGTTAAAAGAATTATTCTTATCCCAAATTTAGTAGTGCATAAATTGCTTTTTAAAACAATGAATCGATGATGACCTATCATTTTCTAAAAGGTATCTGTTTTCTTATACAATGGAATTGGTAAAAGTACACTTATTTATATTAGAATTTCTTGGAACTTAAAAAGGAGATTCAGATAAACTCATTGGATAAAATTAAATTGATTACAACTTCAAGAGAATACTACTTTGACCAATACTTTGAAACTATGGAAATATTTTTAATCAGAAAAGCACAATAGACAATAAAAGAAATAGGAAAATTAAGATATTTTAACAATAATGATGATTTCTATAGGTTGGAAAAGTGTACACGATGCAATTCCCAGAGAGCACTATGAGATTAAAAGGAAAAAAATATACTGAAAATTCTAAATGTCTGTACTGTGACCAGTCTCCATGACCAAGCTACTCAGGAAAGTAATGTTTTGAAGTTATTGAGACTGAGGTGTCCTTGTAGGCTCCACTCATGCCCCCACTTGCCAGAGCCATTCATTTTTTTATAGGTTATATGTTTGTTTTCAACATGGTTTTTGAACTAAAATTTAGCCTAACTTTTCTAAAACGATTTTAATAATAGTTTTAATGCTTTCATAACAGATTTAAAGAGCTCTTTGGCCTTTACATATTTTTAGAGAATAAATTGTGATTTTGCTCTCCACCAAGTCTTACCTTTTCTAAAAGATATCTTTTATCCTACAGGAAATAAAGAAAAAAACTGAGTTTCTAACATCCTCTACATTAAACTGGAAGGCTGATTTCATTTCTGATCCCATACAGTTTCTGCTTTCTTTCTCTTGGCTGCAAGGGTGATCAATCAGGAATTCAAACTGCCATCAATACCCCTTTGTAACTGCAATGGCTCAAGAGAACTCCCTCCATCTTCAATAACTGACACAGTGTCAACATCTGCTTCCAATAAGGTTGTTTCTTTTTTTGTTTGAGTAGAGTAAATCTGCTGACTGAGATCGTAAATGGTTCTGTTTTCTTTCTCCCTTTTCATGCAGAAGATTTTTTCCACCGTATTTTGCAACTTTCCTTTAAGTCAAGTAAAATTTAAAAGAGAAATGGATAACTGCAAAAAAAAAAATGTTCTTATCCTAGGTGCCAAGGAAGTTGGCTACATAACTGAAAAATATAAACTTTGGTGAATAAATGACACTGTCCTCATAATTTAGGACACAGTAATTTATAGGGTCCTGGATAAATAAAATTTTAGAATATGTAAGAAAACTGAGTTGGACCGACACGCCTCTCTAAGGCTAATTTATTTTTCCTTCAGAAACGACATGCTAAAAAGTCAGCTCATTAAGAAATGTACATTTATCTCCTATACCTGGTAGGAGGAACAGCTAGTAGGAGAAAAATATACTTTTTGCAGTAATTTCTTACAGAAAAACAATCATATATCTATTTGATTCCTGCAGAAACAGTTATCGATGTGAAGAGAAGAGATCTTTGGCAGCTCAATTTAGTGAACCACTTACTCAACTGATAGGCATCTGTGGTAGCTGTTATTTATTGAACATCTAATATGAGCCAGATGATTGATCGTGTGTGTGTGTGTGTGTGTGTGTGTGTGTGTGTGTGTGTGTGTGTGATTTCCAACTTCCACAGCCTTCTTGTTAGGTATTGTCCCATTTTTGTCATGAGAAAAATAAATGAAGCCCCAAACCACATGTAAAATTGTGGCTAAGCTAGAATTCAGAGGATGGCCTAACAAACAAATTCTTTTCCATTAATTCATTCTGCTTCTCTATTTATCCCTCAGTCAAAACTCTAACATATGTACTTTCCTATTACCACCACTTAATGCCACTGCCCCCACTGGTTTGATTCAGCCAACACTATTTAAAGAAGGAACACTCAGTAAGGGATAGAATACAGGTTCTTGAAATATAGTTTCTGATTGCCACTTCAAATTATAAATACAACATTAAACCAGATAGCAAACTCAAAAGCTAGATAGTGTGACATAGTCTGCAAATCTTAGAATAGGAATTGGCAAATACTTTTTTGCATAATGAATAACAAGTTTCTCAAAGGCAACTTTCATGTCAGTTCCTAGAATTTTGTGGGTTTTATTAAGTCTTATAAAGTTAAAGAAATAAATCCCTCAATTATTTGCAATCCACTTGTTCTCATTTTGCAAATTTTAGAGCAATCTTGTCCATTTTTTGCTTAACAAAATAATATAAATATTCTTAAGAGGAAAGAGAAAGGAGAACAAATGGAGGGGAAAGTTAAGAGAGGGTGCTTAAGTTTCTTGAGAAGAAACATGGATTTCTCAAAAGTTTAGAAGCTCTTTCAAATGAACTATGAGAGACCTAATATGTTAGGTTCCTGATTTGTCAGTATTATGTTGTTTTCTAGCTCCTGATGGTTTATTGGTAGAAGCATAGATTCTATTTAGAATAAATGAGATGATTTTCTAGAATCTAGTTCACAGACATTTAGAAAACTTGAATAAAATCTGTTTTGTAAAATCCGACAAAGCTACCTTTGTCTAAAGGTGGAGTGGTTTTATATAAAATTGGGGAGGCAGTTGGTAGCCCTCAATAAAGCAGTTCAGAAGCCTCTAAGTCCAACAGCATCATTTTAATGTGAAAAAAGAAGAGCCAGAGAATGACAGAATTTTAAACTTGGAATGAATTCAGAATAATATGCTAAATTGCAACCCATTCTCTTTTAGGACTTTTGGTGGTAATAGCAATATGGTCCTAGCAAGGGGATGCCAGACAATTATAGAGACGTTCTCATTCTCTTTCTATTTATATTTTTGATCCACTCCCTGAGTAGCAATCAATGCCAAACACCGAGATCCTGTTTTCTTTTTCCTTTTTCTTTTTGAAACAGGATCTTTCTCTGTTGCCCAGGCTTGAGTACAGTGACTCAGTCACATCTCACTACAAACTGCAAACTCAAACTGTCCTCCCAACTCAGCCCCCAGAGTGGCTGGGACAACAGGTGTGCACCAAAATGCCCAGGTAATTTTTAAGACATTTTTTGTAGGGATAGGGTCTCCCTATTTTGCCCAGACTGATCCTCAACTCCTGGGCTCAAGCAATCCTCCTGAGCCTCTGTCTTCCATAGTGCTAGGATTACAGGCATGAGCCACCACACCCAGCCTGGGTCCTGTTTTCAAAGAGAGAGCTCACTTATAAGCCTTTCCTCTGTACAGCAGAAATCAGGTTCCCAACATTCCTCAGATCCTCAGAGCCAAGATATTTTTTATCTGACAGTTACCGGGAGAGACACAGAACAAAGTCTACACTCAGAGTGAAGACATCTAATTGTCTGCTGTCTGCCTTTCAATTAAATTTGGTGGAAAATAAGAAATGGAGCAAGGAGTAATTACTTTCCTTCTCCTCTTCATTGGGAAAATCCAATGGAATGATCTGAATGAGTTTGAGTACAACACAACTTTCCAAGAAATTGCAAAGAAAGTTAATGTATTCCAAAGGTAGATGAAGCAAATAACCCTGTGAGTCATCACATGGGAATTGTCAAATACTCTTCTTTGAAAACTCAGAAGGACACAAGAAAAAATCAGATTTATAGGTTCACTAAATTCTGTGCTCCACGTATTTGGGCAAATTATAATTAAACCATTCTATCAAATCAAATTATTGACCAAAGCATAGAAAATTTAACTGGCTACTCCTAGGAAATTTAAGTTCATATTATTAGTGAGTGGAAGGTATCTTAAGTTTGGACCCGACATTGGTCAAAATGTGCATATTGTGTAAAAGAGAGTCTAGATAAGAAACAGCAAAGTGCAGAGTCACGAGAGTGCAAGAGAGTGTGCAGACCGAAAACTCAAAAGGTGGATAGAATATTAACAAATGCGTAAATTACAGCCAAGAAATATATTTGAAAATTATCTATGAGAACTCTGCCTAGTGGAACATGCCATGTTCATGTTTAAAAAGTTGACATATATGATACAGACAATTCAAGAGAGAAAGTGGCATTTCACTGAACGTACTATTTTATGTGGGTAGGGAGAAAGATGAGAGAAATTTGAAAAAACCACTTTATAAAACTCAAACACTTCCATATTCCACTAATTTTTTTACATGACATCTCTGGAAGCAGTTGAAGGAAGAAATGAACTTTGCCTTTGAAGTCCTATTTATCAATAACTGCCACTTTCATAATCTGAATCTTCTCCTAGCAGTGTCTTAATGATAATTTCAACTTCACTTTATTTAACTTATGAGAGCCATATCAGGCTAAATCCTCAGATTTTTAATTTTAGCCCAATTTCAGTTGTATGTAACCTCTGGTTTTATTTTTAAATTGCGTCATAAATTTAAATCCTAATATACACTTTATTTTGCTCTAAATTTCTAAAAAAGAATCGAGTCAAGTAAAAACCAGATTTAAACAAACAAAAAAAGACTTGTTAAGTTTTGCGTTTAAACTACACATTACAGGGATAGGTGGCATTATGGCAAAGAGTTAGCTTGTAATTTCTCTATTATCTTCCCAGATATTGTTCCTTCAACTGCTCTTCAGAAAAAACAAATTCCACTTAAAATATGACTTTTTAAGTTGTCATGAATGAATAATTAGAAACAAGCAAAATGAGCCACAGGCACTCGCAGGGAGCATGGTTAAATGCAGTTTTTTCCCCTAGTAGTTGTATATAACCTCTGGTTTCATTTATCAAATTTGAATGCGCTAGAAAGAGAAGTATCCTCTAGACAAACTCCTCAGGTGTTTGAAAGTTTATGCAAACTTTCTTATTAGTCAACCTCCAAGTTACTCTTTGGGAGAAATCAAAGTAATAAAATATCATTTCTTTAGTGTGGCCATTAAAAAAACACTTTTCAAGCTAAACATATAATTCAAAACTAATTGAGCTAGCATGGAATTAAATCTTTACTGAGATTCAATATAAAAACAATACTGCATTGGTTTGACTACGGTATAGCTACTTCTGTAAAAAGAAAAGAACATAAAACATTTGAGGTAACCTAGAAAGCACAGACAGAGCATATCATAGACATCTTAGAGATAAGCATTTTGAACATTTTTGCCAGTGCTTCTCTGAGAGCAAGTTCTTTAAACAGAACTCAACAATTTTTACAAAATTAAAAAAAATACATCCCTCAAAAATAGCCCATCCATTCTAAACCAAACTTTTTGTATTTCTACAAAAACAGATGCACATAGAGCTACAAACTTGTATTCCTGAAAGAATGAACCTTTTAATTTATGGTTCATCCTTTCCTGACAAGGCGGTTGGTTGAAAAAAATCACAATGTAACAAAACTTAGCTATATATTGATAAAAGCAAGATAACAAAAAGAGAGAGTTGCACAGTGGCAAAGGCTCAGATGAGGAAAAAAAAACACAGGTAAAAATGCTTTTCTTCAATGTCTAGGACCCACCCTGCTTTCTCAAAGAAAGGCCAAAAACCAAAGTCAACCGCATGACACTGTCTTCTCCTTCCATATGTTTCATGTCCTTTTGCTGAATGGAAAACCCTGATGGCATCTTTTCCCAGTGGGCCCTTGGATTCATGCTGCGACCTAACTCAGTAAGATGGTATGTTTCAGTACCATGGTGATTCCTTATTCTTATCTTGATGCTGTAGACCTGTAAAAAAATAACAGTGGGGAAAAAACAAAGAACATTAATACATTTAGCACCAAAAATTAGCATAATCTGCAATGCATTGGATGTAGAAACCAAAAAAATAATCCAGGCAACCGTGAGGTCTGAGCTGAAGACAATCTGATCTCTAAGCAAATTCTGTGCAGGAGGTCACAATTTTCAAAAAGCCAGCTAACACAATATGTGGTAAAAACACAAGATTAAAACAGTGCCACTGATATAACGCAAATTCTTTGCTGTGTGTGTGTGTGTGTGTGTGTGTGTGTGTTTTTTTGCTTGAATTTTGAGGGAGTAGTAAATAGAATGAATGAAACATTTTATTTGTAATTTCAAAAGGAGGTGATGTTGGGAGAGAAAAAGACATAAACCATCTTTCAAGCATTTTTGCAGTGCTTCAATTAATACTTTCAGTAACGATCAAAATTACTCTTTTAGACCAATGTGATAAATAAATTCTGTTGTTATTTTGAAATGTATTCCACAATGGGATTACTATGAACTAGGGCAACCAATTAGATGGCTAAAAACTGAGTCTACTATTGTCGGTAAAATAAATATAGTTGGTTCATAACTATGAGTCCAGACGTATATTCTATTTATTAATTTACTTGTTTATCTTCTTCCAAAGAGTATTTAAAATGGATTTTAAAAATCATACTACATAGCAAAAAAATAAAACTTAGAAGTTAAAAATAGTGACAAAAGGAAGGTAAACACAAATTAATGGGACATAGATTAATTCCAACTAAAAGCTAAAATCAGTAAGAAGTTTATCAAAGAGAAAACAGGAAATATGACCCTTATCTGTGCCTTATACAGTTAATTGACTGATTTCTGTTATGGGCAATTCACATATCACCTTCAGCTTGCACCTACTTGAAGTTACTTTCATTTTGTTTTTGTCTTTCAAGCTTCATTGAAGAGTAATTGAAAATTTAAATTGTATATATTTAAGATGTGGAACAAGATGCTTTGATGAACTTATATATTGTAAAATGATTGACTCGATAAAGTTAGCTAATACATCTTTCACCTGTTTTAGTTCCTTTTGTTTTTGTACCTGAAGTATAATTGTTTGGAAGAGTAAGAACAGAGCATAATAGGTGATTTTATGTTGTTTAAAACTAAATAGCAAAACATGAAGCAAAACTCTTTAAATACGTGGGTAGAAATGCAGCCAGGCTGCTGTTGCGTGGTTGCAAGGGTCTCCGGTTGTCTTCTTGAGCTTTAATGTAAAACTGTTGTAAATCCAGGATGGATGTCAGAAATTGAATAGCTAATTGAGCCAATCTGGCTTAATTTTTTTCTATTATTAAACAACATTTTTTGTCCCTCAACTAGTCAAAGAATTCTGTAAAATGTAAATGTCATTCCAAAATTGGACACAATTAGTGTTTGGAGACATTAAGACCATCTACAAAAGGGACTGCACAAAGGGCAAAAGAACAAATGGAAGAAGATAAAGAAGCACCTCGTAAAATTACAAGTCACAATCTGCGTACTATGTAGCATTTGTGTACCGGCAACAAATAACACTTCCTGAATGCCAAAAGATTGGCTCCACCTTTTCTCTTTTCCACAAGCATACTGGTATTATGTTTGATAAAATGGCAATAGTTTTCCTTTGGCATTTCGAAAGAAGAGGGGGAGAAGGATAAAAGAGAACAATGAGGGAGAGAAAAAATAAAATAAAAGGTTCTGGGGTATGTCAATCCACTCTAAGTTTGCTTTCTTCATTTTCAAATCATTTTCTGGTTAGAATAATTTGCAACCTGGCATAGTCTCTGTTGGGTAACTCTTGTAATCTAAACCACCTTTACTGACAATCTGCTGACTATATAAATATTTTTTTCATTTTTAAAACATCTCATCTTCTGTATGACTCAGTATTTCCACACTTGAAGACTGCATCAATCTATAGAATGTCAGCACTGCAAGTCATGAATACTGTTGTAATCATCAAGTGGTTTGCCTGTCTTATTTTTGCTTTTAAATAAATGCAATTCCTTATTTGTTTTGCAAAGACATATGACTCCTTCAAAATCACATGAGCCTTTTGCTGTGGACAAGTACTGCATTACTTAAGATCGCCCCAAATTTTCCAAGCAGAATAACAGAAGTCACTCTCTCATTATGAATTCATCTATTCAATTTCTTGTTTCCACATCTCTGCATTTCTACAATGCGAATCTTAAAAAGTCAGTTCCTCTGTGGCCTGAAATATATCAAATATCTAATGTATCCCTGTGGTTAAACTTCTTCTCAGTGATGGACCATAAAAAACTTTGCTTTAATTACCAGGCATTCATATTTGTAAACCTCAAAATAGGCATATGTAAAGCACAAGAAAATGAGCAACTACAAACAAAAGACCCTACTAATAAGCTGCAAGAGAAAAGCAGGGTTACAATTTTTTTTAGTTAAGACAACTGGTAATGGTACATTGGAATAATTAAGAGTCAATAAGTACATTTAGTTTTTCCCAGTGAGGACGGAGGGGGCAAAATTGTTAACTCATACATCTTATGTGGTCTATATTTATTTGGGATTTCTCAAGATTTTTCTTGCCTGAACATAAGGCACTCTGTCTGCTGCATGTTCTGTTCCTACTCAGAGATTTCTGCTTCCTTCCTTTATGTTAGGCATGCTGCTAAGTGCTTTATATGAAATATATTTCATCCTCCTAATCATGCTATCTTAATATTCATTTTACAAATGAGAAAATTCAAGCTAAGAGAGTTTATGCAATTATTAAGTGATCGAACCAGGATTTCAAAAGAGGTAGTCTGACATCAGTCGATGGTCTTAGCCACAACATATATGTTCGCCTTATATGAGTTATATTAGCTGTAGCCTAAGTCAAAATTATCTTACAAAATCATTTCAAGAAAAACCGAATAGATTTTTATACTTCTTTTTGCACTGCTTAGAAACACCCTGATTTAACAGAACTCATATGAAGATTAACAAAATAGCGCTCAGTGATTTTTTTAAAGTCTGTATTTGTCACATTTTTTCTAAGATGACATATTAGTCTGTTATGCTTTTAATGAAGATCACTTCAATCTTACAACAAGATGTGCCATATTTAACTGATGTGTCTCTCTATATGAATCTTTAATTTAATCACCACACCCCCTGCCAGACTTCTCCAGTGTGAACTTTAAAATCACGAGGTGGTCATTTGGCTCATGATGTGGTTGTCAAAAATGAACTAAGAAACAAAGATATCAATTGTTGACTGCAGAGTTTGAGTTTGAAATTCAGTTAGGATAAAAGCCCGAAAGAAACAGAGGCCATAGATCCATTTCCTTATTTCAATTCCAAGACCACTACTTCCTGATCACCAAAAGAAAAGGAATAAAAAAAAGTCAGAGCAAAGATGAGACCAAAGGTAATATGAATATACAAAAACCAAAACAAAACAAAACAAAAACCACCACCACAAGAACAACAGCAACAACAACAACAACAAAAAAAACCTTTGGATGGGGCAAGTGAGAAGTCTTGGTCAAGGAAGAGGATGAGAACATTATTTATCTTTAAAATTTGAAGATTTTAAACAGTCCTAGTCCATGTGGGCTGCTATACCAAAACACCATAAACTAGGTACCGTCTAAACAACAAAATTGCATTTATCACAGGTCTGAAGGCTGGGGCATCTAAGATCAAGGTGCCAGCAGATCTGTTGTCTGGTGAGGGCCTGCTTTCTGGTTCATAGAGGGTGCCTTCTGCTGTGTGATCACCTGAGATCTCTCTCATATCTCTTTTATAGGGGCATTGATTTACACTCATGAAAGCTCTGCCCGTGTGACCTCATCACCTCCCAAAGGCCTAGCCTTCTAATATCAGTACCTGAACACCAGGATTTCAACATATGAATTTGGGGGAGATGTAGTTATTCAAATCATAGCACTGACTGTATGTAACAAGGCAGTATGACTCATTTTCTAACTGAGATTCGAGAGGCAGCAGCTTCACAGACCTACCTCTTGTAAATGTTATAGAAATAAGAAAATAGAAATGGCAACATGACAGGTTTGACTGTGAATGGCCTAGAGACTTCCCTCCTCCTAGCTTCCCTCAAACCCTGTTTTGTTTTGTTTTTTTCAAGAAGACTTAAAGTTCAGCTAAGCTCCCCACAAATGATACAGGAGATAGTTCAATGGGAATTCTAGGGTCCTATCAGTATTAGCTGTGATGTGGGTATCCCACAGCAGAAGAAATGGCGGGAGCCACCCTGGATGAGCATCTTAGAGAGATCACAAACACTAGGAACTGAATTCAAACAGACCAAGTTGAATAGGCCATTATTAGAAAGAATACTGTATAGAGGATGCCTGAAGAAAGACATTAAAGGAGGAGGGTATGTTGGAAACAACAGTCTAAGATAGGAATGAAAAGACAGAACCAAAAAGCAGGCAACAACTTATCAACTGGACAATGTTTGTGATGTGAATAACTTTTAGTAACAGAGGGAACCCCCAAGGAAATAAAATGAGGAAAGCGTCTGAGACGAGCTTTCAACTCAAATGGGATTTTGTTTAAAACTCAGAATAATGGAGCTGCCAGTGGACTGAACTAAGAATAAACAGAATTGATGAGGGACTTCTCCCATTAGATAGATACAATAAATAAAAATTTGGTAACAAGAAAAGTTACACTAACATACAGCTGAGTTTTAGGTACTGTTTCATTGTCAGAGTCATATCCCACTAAAAAAAAATGTGCTACTTCTGAAAAAGCATACTCATTTGACAATACTACTGACCCGCTCTTTAAGTAAGTTGAATATGCTCTCAATTAATTTTATTGCTGGAGATAAAAGAGGCAACCATACAGTGGTAAACACGCTGTTGGTTTAAAAAAAAGAACATAAATAGGAACATAAAGCCTGAAAGTATCTGTAGAAACTTTGAAGACCTGAAAGTAAAGACAGCATTTATATGTGTAAATGTAAACTTTTTGTTTCCAAAGTTTCT